GGCCAACTCTTCAGACAGGGATTGGACTGGACTGTGGGACATAAAGTGATACTCGTGAGGAGTGTGCCTCTTAGCTCAAGTGGATACAAGAGACTAAATGGGCAGCTTCTGTCCGGAGGTGAGATGGGAAGGCAGAGAGGGTTAGGAGCTGGTTGAATGGACATGGGGAATCAGGGGTGGAAAGGAGGAGTGTGCTGTCACAGTTTGGGAAGAGCAATCAGAGTCACATAACAATGTATGTACAAATTTTTGTATGGGAAAAAATAATAAAATAAAAGATTTACAGCCTTGGAAACCCTATGGGACAGTTCTACTCTGTCCTGTAGGGTTGCTATGAGTCAGAATTGACTCGATGGCAGTGGGTTTGGTTTGGTTACTAAATGCCATACATAAAATAAAATTTCAGATAGATTAAAAATCTTAACGTGAAAATAAAAATTTAAGCTTTTAGAAGACCTCAAGGGTAGGGTTTCTTAAATAAGATTCAAAAGCATAAACCATAAAAGTAAGTGATTGATATATTTAACAACACTAACATTTTAAACTTAACTTTGATCTAGCAAAAGACCCCTGAGAGAGGGTGGGGGAGACAAGGCACAGCCTAGGAGAAGATATTTGGAATGCACGTAAGTTTAGCATCTATTCAGAATACACACACACACACATACACACAATCCAACTGAAAAATGGGCAAAGGATATGAACAGACAAGGAAACTGGCACATATGAGCAGATGTTTACCATCATTAAAAACTGAGGAAATGAAAAGGTGGAAGCAACTTAAATGTCCATCAACAGATGGATAACCAAAATGTGGTACATACATACACTGGACTATTACTCAGCCATAGAGAGGAATGAAGTCCTGATATGTGCCACAACATGGACGAACCTTGAAAACAACATGGTGAGTGAAATAAGTCAATCACAAAAGGACAAATACTGCATGATCCCACTTATATGAAACAGGCAAATGTACAGAGATCAAAGTTCATTACTGGTTACCAGGAGTGGGAGGGAGGAGGGGGTTCTTTCCTGGGGAGGCACTGAGTTTCTGTTGATTTGGAAGTGGACAGTGATGATGGTTACACCATGATGAACGTAACCAGTGTCACTGAATTGTACATGCAAAAAACGCTAAATTGGCAAATGTTTTGTTATATATATTTTTACCACCATAAAACAATGGGGCCGGGGGCGGGGGGACCGAGGAAATGCAAACTGAAACCTAAAGGAGATAACACCCATCCATTTAGCAAAAATGAAAATTCTGATAATACCAAGTGTTGGTAGGTTTGGGAGAAAGGGGAGTTCTCATATTGCTGAAGGATAAATTGATACAACTGCTCAGGGAGCAACTGAAGTCTAGCCAATCATTTTAGATAAATATGTATTTTTCTCTCTCACCTACACTCACAAAACATAACCGAATGTTCGTTGCAGTATAGCTATCATACAGAAACACTGAAAACCCCTAAATGTCCATCAACAGCATAATGGATAGTGGAATATCATACAATGGAATACTATGCAATTGTTAAAATGACTGAACCAGAGTTACATTTATACACATGAACATCTCAAACATGTAAACTAAAGCAAATTGTCCAATATATACAGTATGATAGCACTTTTGTAAAGTTTTTTTTTTTTTTTTTTAAAAAAAACATGCCAACATGCAAAACTAAACAAAACATGGATGGGAAGGATAAAACGGACCTCTGGACAGCAGAAGGGTGGCAACAGGATTAGGGCAAGGCTGCAAAATGACAGAGTTTACTGCTAACAAGAAATCTGAAGCCAACGTGGACAAATATTAAGATTAGTTCACTGGTTACACCCGGGGGTGGGCATATAGGTGCTTGTACACCAGTTCCCTGCTCTTGTGTGTTGGAATTCTATCTTTTCGAATCCCTTCATCTTTCCTCCCCTGCACTGGCGTTCCGGGTTCCCTGGTCTCCCAGCTCCTCGGGAACCAAGCTTCCACATGTTGAGGCTCCTCAGCTTCCGTTGTTTTCTCTCCAGTAGCTGTTACTTGTGTCCTCTCACACTGACTTGTATTTCCCAGTTTTAACAGAGTCTTCCCCTTAATCATGTGGCTCCTTCCCTCACTTGTCAATCTACTTCAGTATGGTACCCCCACCTTCAGCTTTTCCCTCTGAATGTGGCCTCTACCTCCAGCATCCCCCATCAGGCCTTTGACAAAGATCTCTTTATGCTTAACAAATCCTAACATTTATCCAATATCATCCTTGGAAACCCCAGTCTAAGCCCTACTGTTTCAAAGATAAATACTTCCCAAATTGCCACATTTAATGGACTTCTGGCAGTTTTTCTTCCTCCTTAACCTCTTGGTAGAAGTTGCTGGGTGGTGCAAATGGTTAACATGCTTGGCTACTAACTAAAAGGCTGGAGGTTGGAGTCCACCAAGAGGAGCCTCAGAAGAAAGTCCTGGTGATCTGATTCTGAAAAGTCAGCCATTGAAAACCCTACGGACACCAAAGAAGACATTCAAATGGCCAACAGACACATGAGGAAATGCTCGCACTCACTAGCCATTAGAGAAATGCAAATTAAAACCACAATGAGAT